TGGTGCTGGGGATCGAACCGCGGTCCCTGTGCTTTGCCAAGCTTGTTTCAAGTAGGTGCTTTAGACCACTGAGCCATCTCTCCAGCCCATGATGATATTTTATAAAGTTATTTAATTATGAAATATTTCAGTCGTGTACAAAAGTGTCTGCCAGGCTCAATCCCCAGCACCGCATGCTCTGCTGGCAAGTGTAAGACTGCAGGATTTATCAGAAAGTCGAGTAATACACTCATCAGATTTGTAAAAATCTTACATTTTTCAATAAGTGTATGTGTTTGATGTCTTTTTTAAATAAGTTAATGAAAGGTGATATGATCGCATATATTTTTACAAGTGAGGAAGGGGAGCGTTCTGTTCTGTTTTCTGATGTTTTGAAAGTACTTCATTTCTTCCACACCTTTCTCCATCCAGGCTGGAGGCAAAGCTGGGAAGGACAGTGGCAAGGCCAAGGCCAAGGCCGTGTCGCGCTCACAGAGAGCTGGGCTGCAGGTAAGGGGACCCCACCGGCGCTGGCGCAGCTCCTTGAGTCATCTCCCGCACTGCTGCAACTCCGGACCCAGAGATAGTTCACAAATGGCAGAGCTTCTCCTTATTATAGACCCTTAATAATGAGGTTGATTGGCAAAACTTAGATCGTAAAATTTAATTTGTAATCTGTGTGAGAACAGGTTGTTAAGTGGGCTTAATGAATTGGTAATTTTCTATTAAAATTTGTCTTCCAAGATAATAATTATGTTCCTGGTTCTTTTATAAACTGTATCATTTTACAGTATTTTGTGGGTTTTCTTTTTAAAGTGTTTGAATGACACACAATCATCAAGATGAGCTCAGTTCCAGGGGGACAGGAGTGAGCTACTCATCCCTCTGAATAGCTCCGGTTTTAGCTAGATAGACTCAGAACCATTAAATATTTTCAAACTAGGCATATTCCAGTTGTTACAACTTTCCCCCCATGCACATAGTGTTTTCTGGATAAGTAAGAATTATTCCACGCACATAGGGAACACTTGGAAACAGAACTGGAAGACCGGCTGTCGGGGTTGGGTTTTATGCTTGCATCAGTGGTGGGGCTGGAGCGCTGAAAGGAGGGGCAGGAGTTCATAGAGAAATCCCCCACTGAAGCTGCCCTGATGCGCCACGTGCTGGCTGTCAGGTGGAGGAGGGTTGGCGTGACTCAGGATGGGGTAGAGGGACTTGAGTTAGAGTGGGCGGAAGCAGGAAGACATGTGCAGAGGGTGCGGAGAAGGCGCAGGCGGGAGGGCGAAAGGTTTTCAAGGGCTTAGCGCTTAGGGCCTAAGAGAGTTTGTGTTGGGGCCTCAGTATGGATAAATGTGGGTAGAGTCATTTGGGGTTTTTTGTTTGGTTTTGTTTTTTTATTTTTTATTTATTTATTTTGCGGAACTGGGGGTTGAACTCAAGATTGTGCAGTTCCCAGGCAGGCGCTTAGGCCACTGAGCTATCTTGGTGGAGTCATTTTGAAGTTCACCAAAACATACATGGAAGAACTTCTTGCAAGTCCTAATTGTAAGACTGGTGTCTGACTCATGCACTTCAGGTGGTTTGACCTGGGCGCCAGACGGGGTCGCTGCCTGGCCCTCACCCCACACAGCCGGTTTCACGAAGCCTGAGCAATCCCCGTGGAACTGTCACTGCGGATCAGTGCTACATTGTTCTTTACCCTGCTCACAATACAGGTTTTGGGTTGTGTCTGTTTTGCAGTAGTGCTGGGAATTGAACACAAGACTTCAGATATGCTAGCCAGTGCTCTCCTACTGAGCTGTACCCAGCCTGAAGGTGCCCCCTGACCTCTGTGTCTGCTGTTGCAGCCTGGGCTCTTGGTCTCATACACATTGCTCTTAGGAAAAGCCAGCTTCCCCAAACCTGTAGTCCTTGTTGCTGGCGAGGCGGAGGCAGTCTGAACAACACAGGAAACCTCACAAGACTCCAACTTATGGGGCTGGTGAGATGGCTCAGTGGTCTAAAGCACCTACTTGGAACAAGCTTGGCTAAAGCACAGGGACCGCGGTTCGATCCCCCAGCACCACATGCCAGCCAGCCGCGCCCCCTGGTGGGCTGAGCTGGCCACACACACACACTAAATAAATGTTAAAATAAATAAATAAATAATTAAAAAAAAAAGAAGACACTCTCATATTAAAAAAAAAAAAAAAAAAAAAGACTCCAACTTAAAAATAAAACAAGAGGCGGGCCGGGGAGATGGCTCAGTGGAATAAGCGCCTCCCTGGCAAGCGCAAGGGAGTTCAATCCCGGGTTCTGCCAAAAATAAAACAAGAAGAAAGGCCTGCCATGGTGGTGCACGCCTGGAATCCCAGCACTCTGGAGGCTGAGGCAGAGGTCAGGGGCACCTTCAGGCTGGGTACAGCTCAGTAGGAGAGCACTGGCTAGCACATCTGAAGTCTTGTGTTCAATTCCCAGCACTACTGCAAAACAGACACAACCCAAAACCTGTATTGTGAGCAGGGTAAAGAACAGGGAAATGAGTTCAAGGCCAGCCTGGGCTATATAGTGAGACTCTGTCTTAGATCCCTACTACTCCAGAAAAATGAGAAGGGGGTTGCTGGAGAGAGGCATTGGAGAGTGCTGCATCCCAGGCAGCACACCACTCGGGACAGGGGGCATGAGACTGGCCCTCAGGAAGCTGTGATCCCTCAGGAGTGCTTTCTGTCCTCGAGAAGATCTACAAGTGGCCAGTGTGAACTAAGATGTCACTGTTGAACTTTGAGGAAAGTTTTACAAGATAGCAGGTTTGGGCTGTGATCTTCCTCTCTCTGCTTCCCTAGTCTGTGGGGTTACAGGCACCCACTGCATATCCAGTTTAGGATATGTTTATTGATTTTACCTTTAAAAAGGAAGTATTGAGAGTTGGGGAGATAGCTCAGTAGAATAAGTGCTTGCCTGGCAAGCGCAGGGTCCTGAGTTCAATCCCTGGTACCACAAAAAAAAAA